TGATGATTTATTAACTGAGTGACTGTTTAGTTCTATTTAGGAAAGAATTAAACTATGTAGGACCTTCAAAGTAAATATTAGATCTGGCCAAAAGGAGGGTATCTGATTATTGAGAAATATTGATTGCTTGATTTTGGCCCAGTTCACCTGAAAGCTGGGAACAGAGGTGTCCCACTTCAGTCAACTGCCTCATAGCCAGGTACCCACTGCACACAGTCTTGCTGGTCCAAGGGCATAACAATCATGGACGTTTCCAAGATCTCTATGTAAGTACATCATCCAGTCAACCTTTTAGTGGACTTACATCCTTGAACTTTCAGGATCCCCAGTGCTATGGCAGATCTATTAGGTATGCTGCAGGAAAACCTGGCACATAGTATTTTGAGGGCCTGTGCTTCTGGAGTCCTGCTTGAATGTTAGGACCTTTATTCTGCTAATTAATTCCTCACCAGGCTGATTGCAGTGAGCTTGCACAGGCTAATGCCTAACAGGAAAAGCATAACAAAGATCCTGCAGCTGTTCAGCTTGTAGAAGATAAGTCTTCAGGGAGACCTTATAGTGGCCTTCCAGTACTTGAAGGTGGCCTATGGGAAAGCTGAGGAGGGACTTTTGCCAAGGGCATGAAAGGAAAGGATGAAGGAAATGGTTTCAAACTGAAAGAGGGTAGATTTAGATTAGATATTTGAAAGAAATTTTTTACTATGAGGGCAGTGAGACACTGGAATAAGTTGCCCAAGGAAGTTGTGAATGCCCCATCCAGGAAGGCTGGATGGGGCTTTGAGGAACCTGGTCTAGTGAAGGTGTCCCTGCATGGGGTGTTTGAACTAAGTGATCTTTAATATCCTTTCCTACCCATACCTTTCTATGCTTCTATGATTATGCAGGAGGTTGAAATGATGTAGTGGTTCTCTTCTCCCATAAACAGCCCTCCAACATCCTAATATTTAAGTTGGTCTGCTTTATGTCAGGCATTTTTTATGATCTTCATATATTTGAGTGCAACATCTTCTCTTTTCACTTATTAGCTGCCTGGAAAAATTCTTTCAATCCTTTGCGTACATATGAAGATGATTTTTTTGTGAATGCAAATGCATCTGTTAGAGTAAAAATGATGCAACGTGACAGCAACTATGACAGCTACTATGACCAGGATCTGTCTTGCGAGGTGGTAGAGCTGCCTTACCAGGGCACTGCACGAGCATTGCTCATTCTGCCAGATGATGGAAAGATGAAGCAAGTGGAAAATGCTCTCTCCAAGGAAACTGTTTGTAAATGGGATAACAATCTTGAGACCAGGTAACTCTGGGTATATGCATTATTACTTTTACTGCATTATTACTTTTAAGAGAAAGCAATAAGTTCAGATCTCCTCTTCCTGGATATAATGTCTTGATTTCATAAAGCAGGGTTTTAAGTGATTCCCTATACGAGTCAGAGCAGAGCACAATGGATAAGCAACTCCAGGCTCTCTGCCCTGACAGAAGGGGACACAACATTGTAACAACTGCCTCAAGACTTGCTTGGCTACCTTTGGCTACCATAGCACTTCTTTCATGCTACTAACATGATTCATTTGCTTCACTGTGTCTTACACATGATCCTCCTTTTCCTTTCTTTCAGCCTTCCCACAGTTTGCCTACTTACTCTCTGTAGACCTCTGGCCTCAAATCTCTGCAGACGTGTATGATGTCTTGGCACTAGGATGTAATATTAGCAATGAAGAAATTAGGGACTATTTTTTCCGAAATCAAAGAAAGCATGTAGGTACAAGAAGACAGCATACCTCTCTGGATGACAGAATTGCTCAGGGAATATGAATGCTACCATCAAACACATTAGCAATCAAAAGAATGCTTTCAAGTGTCACTGAATTATGTACTAATCAGCCTGCCGGCTGAAACAAGGCTGCAATGCTTCATTGCTGTTTTGTTTTCTTTGTTCAACAGGAGATTAAATCTGCATCTACCAAAGATTTCTCTTAGTGGGTCTTATGATGTTAGAAACCTGTTCAAGGAGATGGGCATTACTGAAGTATTCTCTAGAAATGCTGATCTGTCTGGAATTAGTGGCAACCGTGATCTTCAGGTTTCAGAAGTAAGTGAACAGATAGAGCTGGTGATGGGGTTGAGATTGATTGCTCTGATCAGTTATATCTGGAGTTTTCAGAGACTTGCCTTCCCTGCTTGTCCTACTGAAGTTATAAGTAAAACTTACAATGACACGTAGGAACCTGCTTAGTAATTGTGGTTTTCGACAGGGAAGTGTCTGCTATCCCACCTTTGACGTATTTTACCGTTGTTATAAAAAGCTGGATATCAATTACATGGAAAAGTTGGAGAAGGCTTCAAATTACTTCTTTGCACTGGAATATCATTGTTTTACCTGCAATTGTGTCAAGTAAATGACAAATGAATGATGTATGATGATATGTGTTTTAATACTCACAAAGTGTCCAGGAAACTTCCAGTTTGCAGTAGCAAATTCTGCAGTAGTAGAATTTCACCATGTCAGTTTAAGCTACTATTTAATGTGGCATAGATGCCAAATATTTCCTCTGTGTTAGTATTTAAATAGAAGTCTTTCATTATCTTGGAATAACTGTTCAAACCATCTAAGAAAATAAAACAGCTAGTGCACAGACCATTACTATCCTACTCAGCAGTGGTGAGACTGGATCTATAGCATGTCTATTTTTATTTTTAGCCCTCCTCATTCAGTCCTGACATGGAAAACACTCCTGATGCAGCCTGCTGGAGATTTACCTTACAAGAAATAATGGTTCACTGGATTTTATCACTCCTTTTTTCTCCTAAACATTCAATAAGAAGAGAGTTTATCTTTACCTCCTGCTTGCTGTCCCATATAAAAAAACAGAGCTTTTGTTCCTTTTCCCACAGGCAATTCACAAGGCCGTGCTGGAAGTTGATGAGTCCGGAACTGAGGCTGCAGGAGCCACAGCCATTCTTCTTAACAGAATTCATAGTCCTTTGATTACCATAAAATTCAACAGGCCCTTCCTTATCTTGATCTCTGAAAAAAAAACAGGCACCACACTTTTCATGGGGAAAGTTGTTGATCCTACTAAGGAGTAATTGCTGAGTGATTGGGCATGCTGGTTTTCGGCATGATTTATCATGGCTACTGTTTGCACGTGTGGGCTAGTTAGTGCTGCTACCTACTATCTGATAGAGGTATATTGGGACGTAAATGAGGAATTTCCTTATCAAAATAATAAGAAAAACATTGTAAAAAAACCCCAAACCCTAAGCAGGTGACAGTTTTAAAATGTAACATTTTCCCCAGTCGAGTAAGTCAAGTCCCCTGTGATTCTATGATGTGTTCTCTGGGACTTGCTGATATATCAGCACTCACATTGGTCAGCCCCTTTCTCCCTTACACAGCATTTTGCTGCCTGGGTCATTGTCATTTACCCTCAACCAACATCTCCTTTCATACATGTTCCAGCTCTTTGCCTAGGACATCTTAAAAAAATATTGACAGAAAAGAGAAAATTCCTGAGACAATGTAATTCTGCTGCTGCAGTACACACTGTGTCTTTCTGCTATCCGTAAGATCAGCAAAAAAGCTTTTCAAGACAGTGACATTAGGCATAAACCTATTGCTATAGTTGATTAATAAAATAAGCATGGTCGTTTAAATCCATCACTTAAGGACAAACTCTCCAGTCTCTTCTTATCCTGTCATATATCTTTAAAAATCAATGAGTACATTCAATCACTTCTGTTATCATAGTAAGGTGTCTGTAAAATATGTTTTAAAGGCTTTTAAAGGAGTCCAACTTTTCTCATATTAAGACAGTGATTCTTTGCATTCTTTCCTTATGTGCCTACTTGGGTAAAACCTGTTTTCAAGAAATACATAAACACTCTCTTACTGTTGCGGGTGTGCAGATCAACCATTCTTACTGCAGTGGAGTACTGGGGCCTTGTTGAACTCTACAGCAAACCCTTTATTGTGCAGCTGCTGCCTCAAGGACTCCTGCTTTGACAGCTGCTCTCCCACTGCACTGCTTCAACTTGTGTCACTGCATATTGACTCTGGATAAGTCGTTCGTAAGTGGAGTTTAGTCCCTGTCCCTGGGAAAGATGGTGCTGCTAAATGTACATTGCTCCTTTCTGCAGTGGTCCTGGCAATGTGCTGTGAGCTCTGCAAGTGCAACTCAGGCCTCAAATCAACACACAAGCTCCCTACCCTTGACATGTCTCTGGTCCTTTGACCTGTTATCTTGGACTTCCTCCACCCTGCACAGAGGTGCTTTGTTGAGACCCATCGGTGCCTGTAGCATGGGTATGGTGTGAAGGGTGAGAGGGGGGTTATGTTTCTGACTCAGAGGTACCTGGAGACTGCTGAGTGGAGGCCCTGAGCTACTGCTTCTGCTGGGGCAAGATACCATCCTCAGTGGCCTGGGAGACAACACACCTCTGTGCAAAGCAGCAGCTTTTGCAGAGCTGAGATCAGTGATAACTTGCTGTGTTGTGAGGCAGCCTGCTCTGCGATGGCTGTGCAAACTCAGTAAGAGCTGGGAGCAGCTCCAGTGAGATCCCACCCTGATAAATCAGTGCACCAGTACTGATTAGAAGGTAGGATGGTGAGATTTTTATCAGAATGGGGTGGCAGAAAAACAGGTTCTCAGCCTATTGCTAAAGGGACAGAGGTTAGGAAAAAATCTCACGGTAGCCAGGATAGAGCAGAGACTTTGGAAAATAACACATGGAGCAACCTCTTGCCCCATCTACCTCTGGGGCCTTTGTTTTTGAGAATGGAGACAAGGAACGGCAGGAGGAGAGCTGCATTGGGAGTGTGCACATGGAGTGTGAGGAATGACTGCTCCTGGCAAGAGTATCAAACAGAACAGCTTTGGATGCTGGATGGGCTTGGGAGGTATCTCCCAGGATGTGGGACATCACCACAGTTGTCCTCTGGTTGAGGATCTTCAAGCTCCAGACCAGCAGGTTGTCCTGAGCTGTCCTGAGTGGGAAGAGAGATCATGACAAATCTCTCTGGAAGGAGAGGACAGAAAACAAATTAGTCTTGTGTCATACATATGTGGAAGGCAGAAAAATGCCTGTAGTTCACAGTATGGAGATCCATAGAGCCTGAGAACTGAACATGCCTGGCTGATGCTACTCTCATGATGTTCTTTAGGAACTAGAGAGTTCTGCAAAGTTGTTTGGTTTTGATTTTGGGTTGGTTTTTTTTTTTGGGGGGGGAGGTTTTTTTGTTTTGGTATTTTTATTGTTGGTTAGTTGGTTTTGTTTGGGTTTTTTTTTTGTGCAGAGAGGAGGCATTTAATTCCAAGAAAATCTAATTCTATTGGTCTGACTTGCATAATTTGTCCTAGTTCTTTTTGTCTGTCTTAATGGGTGATAGGGAACATTCTTCTTCATGCTTTTCAGTTCTATTAATGGCAGAGAGAAAAAAGAAGGATTCTGATAGACATAAGCTAAAATATTCATTTAGAGACTGTATATTCATTCTGTCTGAGGTAAACAAATATTTTTTGTCTTTCATTCATTTGTATGTGATTTTATTAACACCCTTCAATCTTTCACTACAACAAAATCAGACAAAATTATGGCAATTTAATTTCACCCATGCCTTCTCACAGTCTATGGGACAGCTGGATCCAAACTTAGGCCTGAAAGAGAGCTTGAGCTTCTTTATATCTTAGTAAGTGTCATTCACCTGACTTCCTGTAGTGACGGCAGAAGGGGACAATACAAATGATAATACAATGCAGTATGTGACCCCTTATCATAAATATCCAAGATAAATCACATAGAAACACAGAATGATTCTGGTTGAAAAAGACCTTTAAGATCATCAAGTCCAACCATTAACCTAACTCTACGGAGTCCACTGCTAAACAACATTCCTAAGCACCACGTCTACATGACTTTTTAGCACCTCCAGGGATGGTGATTCAACCACCACCTCGGGCAGCCTGTTCTAGTATTTAATAACCCTTTCATTGAAGAAGTTTCTTCGAATATCTAATGTACCCTGGTGCAACTTGAGTCCATTTCCTCTTATTCTGTTGCTTGTTATTTGGGAGGAGGGCCCAACCCTCACCTCCCTACAACCTCCTTTCAGGTAATTGTAGAGAGCAATAAGGTCTCCCCTCAGCCTCCTTTTCTTTACGCTAAGCAGCTCCAGTTCCCTCACCTGCTCCTCACAAGGCTTGCTGTCTAGACCCTTCACCAGCTTTTTTGCCCTTCTCTGGTCTCACTCCAGCACCTCAACATCCTTCTTGTAGTGAGGGCCTCAAAACTGAACACAGTACTCAAGGTGCAGTGTCATCAGTGCAGAGTACAGGGGGAAAATCACTTATCTAGTCCTTTTGGCCACACTATTTCTGATACAAGCCAGGATGCTATTGTCCTTCTTGGCCACCTGGGTATACTGCTGGCTCATATTCAGCTGCTGTCAATCAACACCCTCAAGTGATTTCTTCTGGGCACGTTTCCAGCCACTTTTCCCCCAGGCTACAGCTTTGCATGGGGTCTTTACCACCCAAGCGCAGGACTCGGCACTTGGCTGAGTTGAATCTCACACAATTGGCATCAGCCCATCGATCCAGCATGTCCAGGTCCTGCTGTAGAACCTTCCTAAACTCAAGCAGACCAACACTTCCTCTCAACTTAATGTTGTCTGCAAACTTAGTGAGGGTGCTCTCAATCCCCTTGACCAGATCATCGGCAAAGATATTCTTAAAGGAATCTGGTCCAAACACTGAGCCCTGGGGAACCCCACTTGTGACCAGCCACCAGCTGCATTTGACTCCATTTACCACAATTCTTTGGGCTCAGCGAACCAGCCAGTTTTTGACCCAGGAAAGTGTATACCAGTCTAGGCCACATGTAGCCAGCGTGTTCAGGAGAATGCTGTGGGAAATGGTGTCAAAGGCTTTACTGAAGTCTGGGCAAAAGATATCCACAGTCTTTTCTTTATCTGCTAAATGGGTCACTTTGTCATAGAAGGAGATTAGGTTTGTCAAGCAGGACCTGCCAAATGACCTGTTGTGGGCCCATTATCCCTGACTTACCATGCTTACAGGAAGTTCTGTGAAAAAATATTTACTGAAAGAGAGTGTATCTCAGCTGAGAACCCCTGTGAGGGCAAATGGTTGTACTGGGCTGGGACTCTGAAAAGCAGCCCAGCTGTGCCCCAGCAGTCCTGAGTGCCTGAGTGGCAGCCAGCCATGTGGGAGATAGTAAGCTTGTTCTCTCTGACCTTGTTTATGGTCCACTGGGACTTTGTTTGCTGGTGCTTTGTCAGTACAGCTCTGTTTGCTTTGCCTCATGGCAGAGTCCATGTAGTATGCTGTTACAACTCATGAATTAGTGGGACTTCAGGGCTAATGTAATATACGCCCAATGCATTTTACCTTCCATCAGTAAGGAAAGGAGATGACTCGGTCCCTAAAGGATCAAAACAATCACATAATCACAAAACCACCAACTGCTCACGAGCCCTGCTATTCAGGTGCTACCAGCACTTTGGATTTTCCTTTCTTATTCCCAGCTATATGATTTGAGCATTAATCCTGGTATCTGAATAGCCTTCCTTCAACGGGCACTCCAGCCCCTTCCACATAGCTGTGTCATCCTTTCAGCCCTTGATTGCTGCTACTATTTCAAGGAAATGGGAATTTACCCAGATGTAAGCCAACCCAGTTCTAATTGTTTCAGTAGATGCAGCACAACAGAAGCAGCAGACTTTTTCCCTGTGTTCACACTCATTTCAAGCAAAGAATCACTAAGATCTTAAAAATCAGTTGACTATGATAGTTCCTGGGCAGAGTGGTTTTTGTTTGTGGATTCTGAGAACCAGGAATACCTGCATGGCAGTGACAAGGCAGTTTCAGTGCCTCACAACTCAGCTTGTGCTTAGCATGACTCTAACTAGCTTTTGGTGGCATTAAAAAACCAAAACAAATAAAAAACCCAAACTGAACAACAACAACAAAAAGACACCACAGGAAAAAAAAAAAAAAAAAAAAGGTGCATTTTCAGATGCAAATGCTTCACTGAAAACTCTACACATTCACCGCAGTGGGAGCTAGGATGAG